ATGCTAGCCAGCATTCCATAAGAATCAGTAAGTTCTACATGAAGTACTTGTCCACGCTGGTGCTCTGAGTAACATTTGTTTCATCTATTAAATTTATACATGAGAATTGGCTAGGAGGCACTGCAGATAAACTAGAAAGCAGAAATCAACTTGTCAAGATCACTATGGATTTTAAGACTGAAAGTACAACATCAAAAATTTTGGGGAGACAGATATGGCACTGTTCTTACGGAGGCTGCAAATGCAGGGAATAATCAACTAAGCAGTCTCAGCTCTCCCTGCTGAGAACATTGGTGTTTTGGTTGCATGCTGTGACCCATCAACAGTACCAGGCATCGTGGGCTGAAAGACAAGTCCCTCTTCAGCTGTGCTGAGAATCCATGGGACTTGGGGTGGATTATTGTGTTCCATAAACTCCATTTTAAGGAAGACCTTTCCTTTTACAGGCTCTTCGTTATTTCCACATGGCAGAAGAAGGTAATCCGTGTAGTTTGGTTTGTATTTTTTTTTAATGCATGACTGGAAATAAAGCATTAATCAATGCATATAACCTCAAAATTTGGTACCAAATCTCCAGCATTGACCTGTAAAAAGATCGTGTCAAACTCTGAGGGTGAGGGGAAGGGGAGAGAGGGTTGTCTGGCCTCAGTGGGCCCAAGCTCTCTATGAACCTGTCTGCTGAACTACAAATAATAAAATGCAGTCAACAACTGAAAAAAGTACCCAGCAAGTCTTGCAGGGGTTTTGAAGGAATCGTTATAACTCGTGTCTACCTACCTACCTTCTAACAGAGTAGTTCTTTAAGCGTGGCCCAGGTAGAGCTAATTCCTGTGCGTGTTCTGGGCTTGGGCAGCCCCAGGCCCCGCTGTGAGGGGAGGGAGCAGCAGGGCGGCCGCCCAACGGTGCTTTACTCGGCGAGGCATTACCTGCCCGTGCCACCTCCTCGGCGAGGCCTTTACCTGCCCATGCCACCTCCTCAGCAAGGCCTTTACCTGCCCGTGCCACCCCCTCAGCGAG